AACATTTGATTTTCAGTTAATCGCTTTTTTTTCATGAATTTTAAAAAAATCATATATTCATACACGTTAACACAACTGCATTTAATGCCCTTCTTATTTTATGGGTTTGGTCGACCAAATTTGTGTTTCAATCAAATTCGTATATTTTGATTTATCATTGATATTTCATAATCTAGTAATCATTCTTAAAATGATTCGAATGGATCAAAACCATCAAAATTCGATCATAATAACAAGATATCGATAATAGATCAAAATATACTAGTACGAATTTGATTGAAACGCGAATTTGGTCGACCAAACCCGTAGTTTACGATTTTTTTAAATTCTTTATTTTCATTGTATATTGCCCTTAATAATTTTACTTTTTAGATGAGCCCCCTTGAATTGTGTCGGCTATCATAGTACCGGTTTATAAATTTTTAATTGACTAATTAGTCGACTGATTAGTCGACTATGACTAATTAGTTGACCAACCTGATTTCAATCTCTATACGGGCGAAGGCATAGTATTTTAAATTTTTGTTTATACAAAGTGTTTCAAAAGTCCCACTACTGGTCCCTATTTTTATATACATATAGAGATTACGATGATCTTTATATCTGATATATAAAGATCATCGTAATCTCTATACATATATAAAAAATAGGGACCAGCAGTGGGACTTTTGAAACACCCGGTATATGTTATTACGCATGTGTGAATCTTAAATTTATACAATAAAGCCTGGGAAAATATATTATCATTTACCGTATATAGATACTTCCATTTAAAAATTTGTACATATGCAGGATTCTTATATGTTGTGTATATATTCATTGTAATACCATCGTTATTGCTATTGCTTTGACCGGGGATATTAAGTACGTCGGGTCCGCTCCCGGTAGGGATGTTAAATTGCGAATTCAGTCCGATCCTAGGATCTAAAAAGATGGCCCTGGACTCGATCCTTTAAATCACATGAAAATACAATACATTTTATAGGACCTAGATCCTTAATCAGATCCTGAATTGAATCTGTCGAATGAGTTCATCCAATCAAATTAATTTTGTATTGTTATAATATTTTAATTCAGAATCCAAGTCCTATAAAATGTATTGTGTTTTCATGTGATTTAAGGACCGGTTAGGATTCGGCCCCAAAAGACCGATTAACATCCCTAGCTCCCGGTCCTGGATTAGTTAAAAAACGTTCAAAAATTATAATTTTAAACATATCAATTGAAGCAATTAATGAAATTTAAGTGGAAACGCTGAATTTTATTATATCTGTATAAAAAGTGTTGTTCTTGTGTGAAATCTGGATTAGTCTCTAAAAAGTCAGGTCCTGACTCAGTCCGAACCAGTTCCTTGGCTAAAACTAAATGTGCATGTGTTTCGCTTTTTACCATATGATATCAATTTAATCAGGAACCAATTATATGTCAAGTTTTTCCGGTGGGCTTCATGACTATAGACTCCGGGTCTACTATGGCAATAGGTTTTAAAATTGGTGGAATAATAATTAAATTTAGTATAAGATTCGGTTTGAATTTTATTTTTTGCATTGTAAGCTTATTATATTTATTAATTTACTATCTAAAATTAAAAAAAATTTTTTTTTAAAAAAAAAAAAAATCCGGGCTGCCGGGTCAAAAAAATTATTTTATGTTATGAAAACCAAGAAATTAACTTTGTATCGCCTAATGTCGAAAAATTACATAAATGGAAAATTGATCCTGTGCCCTGTCAATTTTCAAATTAAATACAGTCAGACCTCTCTAAATGCATGGCATCAGGCTAACAAAAAATCTTGTATTTAGAGAGGTATTGCCATTTAGGGAAGTAAAAATCTATAAGTAATATATGAGTTGGGACAAAGCCAAACCATGTATTTAGAGAGGTTATGCATTTAGAAAGGTTGCATTTAGGGAGGTCCAACTGTAGTAAAAACATATAAAAATCAATTTTTACTATATTTGTTAAGTAATTACTACTAAAAATGGAAATTGTTCACCCTACTCTTAAGTTTTAAGTCAAGAAAACTTTTACTTAGAAAAAATTTGTCTCTTTCTATTGACTCTCCCCCATGTGTAAATGCTGTAATTGCTATTTAGAGTAGGTAGCATTGCATTTTATTTGATATTCCAGTTGGTTTTTGGTGGCTTTATATACTAGAGATTGTTGTATTGTGATAAGTACCTAAAACACAACAAAAATCAAAGACTATTCGAAAAAAGGCGTGAAAGATTTGGTCCGAGAACCAAGGATCCTATTGACACTAGGATCCTATCATTAGATGGTCTTTATTATTATAACACTTCACTTGTTTTCAGATACATGAAATCGATGATTATTTATACATTACAGAGAGTTTTGGGGCTTTGCTACTACGATTAGAATAAGCAATATGACTATTTAGAGTATCGGGGGGATCTATGACTAACGATGAGTAATTCATACTCATTTACATGACTATGACTTTGGTTCCCACCACCTCAAGCCAACTCCGAATTGGCATTTATTAAATGCCGTCATTTTTTCGATCAATGCGCATTAAGGTCCCGAGTCTTATGGCCTAGATCACGTTTTTTTGCTGCGGCTAGTTCACGTTACCCCTTCACAATGTACATATTGACATTTACCTAGTAATATTATGTAAACTATATACATGAAATAAATGATTATCTTAAACTATGCATTTAAAACTTTATTGAAATTATACTGTATATATATCGATTAGGTTGTCCAGAATTATGCAATAGCAGAATTTGCAATTGAAATGAATTTAATAAATTTTAATTTGGACTTTTTAAAGTTAAATTTGGACTTGATCTTTAAAGACTAAGTCCTAAAGCCCCGGACCTAAGAACTTTACCAACCCTATCCTAGATGCACTTTCTAAATGTAGATAATAAAAATAAGACAATTTCAGAGTGCGTCATAATTTATACAAGATTAACAGAAGAATAATATCAAACCTTCTGAAAAGGTTCAGGATCTTCATCATCAGAATCTATGTATTTTCTGCTTTTACGTTTTTTAGATTCTTCTCCCCAAACCTCACTCTGTTTTTCGGTGTATTCACGTAATTGTTGATCAATTCTTCTTTGATTCTCTATAGCTTTTTCCATTTCTTCTCTTTTTCTACGTTCTTCTTCCATCTTCAAAAAATAATATTATGAATATTACGACAAAAAACTCTTTAAATACAAAAATAAATAAATCAATTTATTTACCGCAATCTTATCTTGTTCTCGTCTTTGTCTCTCTGCACGTTCTTGTGCTTCCTCTTCTTTCTTTCTTCTAATTTCTTCTTGTCTCAATGCCTCTTCAAGTTTCGTTTTAAGCGAACTCACAGTAGAATGTCCAAAATTAATACGCTGATTTAAAACCTCCTTATCAAAATTAACGTGTGGCGACCCATCATTAACTAGATGGTCAAAAGTACTAATAGTATAAAATAAAATAAAGTCAATTAAATGTTAAATTTATAACGAAAAAATAACAAAAAACAGGATAATAACCGATGTGCACATTCAACATCTCCAATGGCACTCATCAATTCTGTTGAAGATCGCACTACTCCTGGTTCACCAATTAATTGTGCTCTGCTTTGTTGTATAAGAGCGACATTATGTACAATAAGTTTATTTGTCGGTGCAAGTCTTAGGGCCTATATGATTTAAAGATTTCATAATATACGCACTTAGTTTCACAAACTGACTTATACAGGAATATGACAATGAATGACTAGTGATTACCTTCTCTGTCCAAATTAAGGCTTCGTCCATTTTATTTAAATTCTTTGTCTCTTTAGCCAAAAGATAACAAGAACGACCAATCCATTCTAACACAGACACATCTTTATGTTGTGACTTTTTGGAAACTCCTTCGTACTATAAAATCGACTATTTTCATCAATTTTCTTAAACCGTCTATCTTATAATAGACAAAAGAATAAATATCCAAAATTACCGAAAGAATAGCAGTCTCATGCTCATTCATTTGACTGCAAACGTGAGCGTAATTAATAGTAATTTCAGGTACAGGATTATGTTCTTTTAACTAAAAATGGAACAAACATATTTCAGATATTTGTTTTTGTGTACGTCACAAATAAATTACTGCAAATTGCCGCGTAAATCACCCTCTTTATAGAAGACCACAATTTTCACGTAGGTTTAAAGTAACAGATCCGGGTGGCTTATGCGGCAACTTACGGTGATTTTTGACAGATATTTTTACCTTCCAGAATTGTTCTTTTGCTTCTTTAAATCTACCAGACTCCGCAATAGCAACCGTTATTCCATTAGCCGCCCATACATTTTTCGGATTTTTTTGCAGGGCTTTCTGAAAATATTCAACGGCCCTTTTATATGATAGTTCACGTGCTTCTTTATCTTGCCTACGTGATCTCGCTCTGAAAAGATACAAACTACCTAACGCAGTTGAGGCAACTATATCATGTTTATTCTCTGAATGAATCATCTCAAGGCTTCTACGAGATTCATGGATTTCACCCTGTCTTAGTTGATTTACTGCCAATCTTTTGCGAACCTCAACGTTATTCTCGTCAAACTCCAAGATCTCATTATAAATATCATTGGCTTTTGCATTGTTACCATGGAATTCTTCAATTGCAGCTAGACGTAAACGAGCTTGAAAAATAACAAACGTATAAATATATGAAATATATTAAAGCTAAAGGAAAAAAAGTAATGCAATTATACCTGGGATGAATGCAGGATGCTCGTTAATAATTTGACTATATAAATCCTGGGCCTCCTTAAAATTATGTGAGGCCTCATAAGAACGTGCCAAATTATAAAAAAGAGTTATTCTAACATCCGATTGCGGAGAGGGAAGCTGCTCGCATTTTTTCAAGGCTTCTCTATAACATTCAGACGCATCCGCATATTTACCTGAAAAATGAAATGATATCAAATTTTAAAAGCGCGATTAGCCAGCTTCAATAAAATTCCAAAATAAATATAGACTCTACTCACCCTGTTTAAAATGCAAGTTGCCTTTTTTATTAAACAGTTCAAGCGGGATTGGTTCATTGGCTTTAATATACATAGATTCAGCCAATTTTAATGCTTATATAATATAAATAAAAATTAAATACACTATAATACTTAAAAATACATTAACACATTTCCAATATTAGTATACCAACCTTGGAGACTTTTATAAGCATTTTTGCCTTCAATTGCATGTGCTTTGACTATAAATATTTCTGGATTATCGTATGAGCCTTCATTAATAGCTTGTGTTATTTTATTAAATTCTTCAAAAGCGCTCGCTTTTTTCGAAGAATCAGTTTCTTCGAGGGCAGTATTAGCAGCCAAAATCGCCAAGATCTAAAAATTTTATGTTAAATGATTATAAAAAAAAAAAAAAAAAAACGACCACAATCAATTCAACATACTGTTACAACATCAAGAAAATTTGGATTTTGACGCCTCAATGTCTCAAATATGATTTTGGCTTCCTCATAACGCCCTGTTACAATATATATATATATATATATCAGCATACCAAGTGATTATAATGATGTACTGAAAATGAAGATCATAAAGTTACCGAATTTTATTAGCATCTGGCCATAGCCATAAATTGCAAGCAAATGATTTTCATTGTAATTAATAGCTTGAGTATAATGGTAAAGGGCTTTTTTATAGTCCTCCTGGAAAAATAAAGAAAAATGAGAATGCTTAATGTTGTTTCGTGAAAAAAATAAAATAAGATAAAATCAGCAAGTATTTAAATACCATAACATGATAAGCTCTAGCTTGATGAAAATGCGCTTCAGCTAGTATAGGTTTCGAATCAGTATGTTCCTCGGCACGTCTTGCGGCTGTGATGAGCTGATCACGTGTAAAGATGTTAGTTTTAAAAATGAAAGCTTATCATTATAGTAAACGATATATACATTTTCGAAATCTCTCTGAAAGAAAAAACCGTGTGCCAGTAAAATCAATGCACTGGAATGGCTAGAATTTATCTCAAGGACTTTATTTGCTCGATTCATTGCAGAAACAAAATTGGTTAATCGATCATGTGCGCCAACTTCTTCGTATTGTTTAGAGATATCAAGCTCAAGGGTAGCGAGAAGGATACTCGCAGATATATTAGTTGGATTCTGAATTAGAAAAATAAATAAGAATTATGAAAGATCAAATCTAGTAATGTAAATAAATAAATCTAAGACGTTTTACCAATTCGAGAGCTCTGTCAAATGCCGCGATAGCTTCATCAAAATTTTGTAATTTATTAAAACAGAGGCCAATACCAACACGCGGATCAGGTTCTGTGAGATCAGGTTTTAATCGTAAAATTTCTTGATAAAGTTTAAGAGCCTCTTTATATTCTTGACGAAGATACTTAATGCGAGCCTAATAAATATAACAGTTAATAAGAAATTGAAAATTTAAATGAATAACGAAGAATATTATTAAATACCATGCCAAACAATGCAGGAATGTTATGGTTTGCAAGATTATATGCATTTTTAAATGCAGTATAAGCAGCATCTGGATCGTTTCGACCAAGGAATATAAAACCTTGAATACAATTTTTTTTATAAATATTAAATTTTAATAATTATTATTTCATGAACGCAATCAAAAAGCTTTCAAATAAAGTACCTTTCACGACCCAAGTTATTGGATTTTGAGCACTGAGAGAGGAAACAGTATTTAATTGCCTAATCGCTTCATTTAGCAAATCTGATTTTGGTTGTTTGTCTTTTGTATTTTTTGCCATTTTATAATATAAGCTAACTAATAGATTATTTAATCTGACTTTTTCATCGTTAGAACCGCGCGCTATCATATGTTGAAATCCGAATAAAAATTAGTGACGTCAATGTCTAAGATCGACAAACAAGAGTGAAGGCATACGTAGGGAAAGTCCTCTCTTAAGAATTGCAATAGCCACATTAGGAGCCTTTCTATTAATATTGAAATATAGCTGTGCATAAAAAAAAATGTTTAGAAATATAAGCTAAACGAAAGGGACGCGCCTTTTATGTAATCACATAAACTAACCGCCAATCGTAAATAAACCGTCATTTGGGCACCATCTTCTTTCAACTTATTACAAATTTCTTCAGAATTATCTGACAAGCTTTCGCAATCGATAATGCGTTCTTGTCCAGTTCTCAACATAATGGGGATCTGGGTAGGTAGTTTTTGATCTGGCATTATGATGTTTAACTTGAAGTTCAAGGAGTGAAAAAGTGAAAATACTGTAGAAATAAGTAAATGTTATTAAGTTTATAGTTTTTTTTGAGTGAGATACTGTATCTACTTCAGTACTTGTTATTGGCCCGTGATCACATCTATTGTGAGTTACGCAATTTGACCTAGAAATTAATTTATGGTTTCTAAGCTTACTTACGTAACTATTCTAATAAGTGCCGACAAAATTCATACAAAAAACTAAATTTATTATAAAAAATACATACTAACAGAATTTTAAAAAATTATTAAAATTAACCCACTAAAAAAATCAAATTAATACGGCCAATGTTATTATTAAACTGGGATATATGAATCGAAGCATTAATAGAAATTACAAAATATATAGTACCCATTAGCCACTATCAGATAAACAAAATACTATCCAGGCCGCACGATAGGGACATCGGTACAAAGGTACCCAGAAGACAATGATAAATAAGAGAACAAATACTATTCTATAATTGATATACGATGTCTATTCTATTTAAGAGGTTCCCACTGAAAGTATGCATCAAAAAGATGAAACCCATCTTTAAGACAACATTCTTCTCAGGTAATATCACGCTGGAAACGTTATTAATTCAACCATAATCCTATCAATAAAACTGTGTATAACAAATAATTTGGAAAATAAAAAATACAACCCGCACTCAAGGTTACATATAACAACGTAGCCACATTCCAGAAGGAATGTCAACCATGCCCTTTCTTTCTCTCATAGGAATAAGTTAATTAATATATTCCCTAATACACACATTTGTAAAAAGCACAAATGATATACTTGCCAGTTAAAATAGCGATTCTTAATCAAAAACGAAAAAAAGAAAGTATACGTACGTACGAATTACGAAAATTATATTTTCGCATTTTTACAGTACAAATTTACTTTTGATTAAACAATTTTATTTTTGCGTGCAGCATAACTAATAACATATTGACGTCGTAAAGGGTATCAAAACCCAATGAATGAAATAATGAACAATAATTATGTCTTTCCTCTTATATATTAAAATCTAAACCAATCATTTTACACTTTCAATAATAGCCAATCGTATCATTCTATGAAATAATTATCACAATTATAACATAAATATGAATTTCATGTTTAACGATCAAGTCTTTAATATAATATTGTCGTTTGATTTCTCTCTCAATTACAAATTACAATGGATTTTCAGAATAGACCAGGTTTGTTGAAACTAGGATTATGGTTGAATTAATAACGTTTCCAGCGTGATATTACCTGA